GAAAAACTCGGCTTATACTCGAGTATATACGGTGAGTGCTATTGCTAGTGCTACTTACAACCCAGATTCCAAGTTCTGACAGCCCCCCCGAGTCATGTGACCAAACTTTGGGTGCTCAGCAACACAGCTGCATTTGCACCATCCCACAGTCATGTGATTGTATTTTACAATGGTTTTGCCAAAAATTGCACTAACTTCCAGTTTTTGGCAAAAGGGGCTTCTTATTTTGCATCTGTGGTGGTCTCTCCTTAATTATGCATGAACGGATAGAAATCTGTTCATGCACAAGGCATACCAGATTAAAGAATCTTGCTAACATTTATTGCTAATAATATTGTCAACGCTGCAAATACTGTATATTCTTGCTTTGACAATATGCAGAACTGTCTGGTATTTTTAGGGTTAATGCAGAGCAGAAGAGGGTGGGGGGAAAAGCCCGGGAAAGAAAGAGGAAGGAAACCTTTGACCTTCACACTAATTGGATAATGTGATATATGACAGCTAATTTAGGGAGGGAACATGCTGATAACTTAACTGCTCAGAGGAAGAGAATTTCAGATCCTAGCATCAACCTTCCGTTATGCCTGTGCCGACATTTTGTAACAATAAATTACTTTTAGGAGAACCAATGCCTGGAAGTTCTTTGAAGTGTTTCATTAGCCAGAACCATAACAACATGCTAGGATCTCAAATCCTTTTCAAATGACCTGGGGTCCCGAACTCCATCCACTGCCTCTAGGCTTGAGAGGAGCTGGTAAAGATTCGGGAAAGATCTCATTATGGAGAAAGAAAGATTGCCTGAAGCCAGCCCCCTGGCTGCAACAGTTTTCCCGGGGGGGGGGGGGGGGAAGCGACAGCCGGCAAGCCGGGGGAGAGAGGAATCTGACAGATTTCCCAGCTGAGAGCAAAGACTTCAAAAGCAGAATGGACAGATAACAAAGTTTTGGGTGAGTCACTGGAAAGATTTCAAAACCCAGAAGTGAAAAGCAGAACTCAATTCCTGGAGAGAGAAGCCTATACCCCTATACCCCTCCCATGGCCCAGCAGAGAGCCTGTCAGATCCTATCTTCCATTGCCAGACACCTCCGCAGACTTCTCCATCAAAACACTGTGTGGTGATACGCAGACATGTCCAGCAGTCCAGAATAGGTCCTTCTATCACTGCTGCAAAAAAATAATGTCAGGGTTGGACTTCAAAAAAGCAATCCTCAAAGCATGCATAGTCTAAATCAGTGTTTCCCAACCTTGGCCACTTGTGTGGACAGCATGGCTGGCTGGGGAATTCTGGGAGTTAAAGTCCACACAGCTTCAAGTGGCCAAGGTTGGGAAACACTGGTGTAAGTAATGAATAACTGAAGATGTGAGGGTCAAAACTTGTCTGATACTTACTGCAGTCCTCTGAACAAGCTAGAAGGTGCAAAGAAAAAGAAAAGAGGATTGTTTTAAAGATTGAAACTCTAAGAGACTTTTTCCTAGCTAATGCATGGTTGATTCACATGTTCAGGAGTACAGAATGCTAAGCAAGTAAGAAATTCAACAATACTGTATCAAGACAGTGGTCCTCGGCTGTCTTGTAGCTATAGATTTTCCTCCAAGGGACAATTGTGATATTGGCATCTTCTAAATAAAATATATATTGAACTGATGGGTGAATGCAAACCTAAGCTAGAGTACTAAGGAAGGGCACTGAATGATATATTGAATATTTTGGATTTTGGACAAAAATAAACTCCAACTCTTCCCCACCACCACCACCTGGCTCCAAGGCACTGGGGAACCCTACACAAATCTTGTTTCATGGATGACAAAGTTCCATAATTTCCATAAGGAAAAAGCCATGTTTCTTTCTGCCACAAAAGAAGAGTAAAATTAAAGATGGCAGCTATAGTTCCAGGCATCATTTGAACTTCTTCAACATATACCCATTGACCCCCGGCAGATACAACCCCCCCCCCGGTTTCTTGCCATAATAGTAAAGGAACTCTGAGAAGGGAGGATGGGTTCAAAAGGACACACAACCTGCAGAAGCACCTTTTCCAACCTGCCTTTAAAGGCAAATCAGGGTTTGGATGGAGCTGTCTTCTGCTTGGGTTTCCCTCCTCTCCTCTTGTGCAAATGCTCTGATATTTTTACCTAACTATAGATTTGGAGATAATTTTTTCCCAATCCAATATGGCTAAGATGCTTATTTTGGATCCCCTTATCTGCACACCACCCCATTTAACCTGGAGTACTTACTATAAAGATAGATTTTCATAAAGCAATGTTTTCCAACCTTGGCACTTTTAAGATATGTGGACTCCAACTCCCAGGATTCCCCAGCCAGCCAAGCTGGCTGGGGAATCCTGGGAATTGGAGTCCATACTTCTTAAAGGTGTCAAGGTTGGAAAACACTATCATAGAGTTATTAAATTTGCAAAAATGTGTGTGTACACATATATATGATGGAGATAGGATGGGCTGGAAGTTTTGTCTCCTCTTTTTCACTCTTCAGGATTGGTACCAAGATCAGCAAATTTCTCCAGAATCTGGTGAATCTTCTTTCTCAGGGAAAAGCGGAGCTGGTACATAGAGAGCTGCCACAGAAAAACTCCTAAGAGTTTTTAAACAAGGGAGCCAAGATGGTGGACAGGCAGCAAAGGCTGTAAAGAGCTCCTCCAAAAGCAAAAGCTTTTTTTATTATTATTATTATTTTCTTTTATTTTTATTTTAACTTCTAACTTTTTAATCCCTTTTAACATTGCATTTTTAACCTATTTTTATCCTATATTAACCTATTTTAACCGTTTTAAACCTATTTTTAA